GGGGGGGGGGGGGGTACTTAAACTACTTTTGAAAAACAGGAAGCCACTGGCCAATCACTCAGGACCAGGTGAAATCAGGGGCGTCAAAGTCACATAGGCTACAAGGCCTGCGTCTGGGTCTGCATTTTAAAATAAATAAGCTCCAAAGTCTAATCTGGAAAAGGTTAGTGTTCATCGTTTCAGTGTCATCAGGTCCCCTAGTTTGTCTCTGGTGACCCAGTTTTCCTCCAGCCATCCATCCACATGGGGCCCCCATAGCTGCAGCATCAACAGACCAGCATCGAGATCTGACCTGCCCCTTCTTCCCATTATCTTAAATAGAGTTTGGATTTTTTTGTTGTTTTTTAAAAAATATTTTATATATTTTTATTTTATGTGTATTCATGTACTGCCTGAATGTAGTTAAGTGCACCCGTGTAGTGCAATGCCCGTGGAGGACAGAACAGGCTATGGGATCCCCTGGGACTGGAGTTATAGTTGTTAGCTGCCATGTGGGTGCTAGGATTTGAACCCGGGTCTTCTGCCAGAACCACCAGTGTTCTTAACTGCTGAGCCATCTCTCCAGCCTCTGGATCTGTTGTTTTTGTCTTTTGAAACTAACATTGTCCTCTACAGCCAGTCTTCACTAAGGACTGAGCTCAAGGATTGAGCTCCTGAGTGGCAGTGGATTCTGGTTAGTCACGGCCCACATCCCCACCCAATTTTGCCCTATGGTATTTAAGAAATGTATCACACTTACGATTACTGTGCTTCCCATGGGACAGTGAGAATTACCCATGCTGGTTCCCAAAGCACCAAGGCCCGGCCCTCTCAGAGCTTCCCTGGAGGAGCCCTGGTATGTATGTGGTATGACCAGAGTACTCACAGAATCTTCACAGCATTTCTAGGTGAGCTGTGTAGACTGTGGGACTAAGGGGCACTAGTCCAACCTAAATGTATGTAGCTCTCAGGTCTCATGACCATGAGGCCAATCAAGAGCAGAAAATGGCAGGTGACTTTGGACCTGTCATTTGGGTCCTGCCCTCCCTGGATCTCGGGAGGGGGATATCTCAGCAAGGACTGTGCTGCTCTGTGCTACAGGAAACTTGGGTTTCCTCATGTGCCACAATAGCAGGGTGACCATGTCTTGTGCCAACTACTTACCTCTGGGTCCAGGATCTCCAAGCTCCCCAGTGGGACCACGGTATCCAGGGGGCCCCCGAGCACCGGGGTGGCCAATGGAACCTGGAGGACCTGGGGGTCCTGGGGGTCCTGCGGGACCAGGCCTGCCGACGGAGCCTGGTGCTAACGGCTTCCTCAGGTGTGCTGCTAACTGTGCGATGTGCTCTTTTGGAAAACGGTACAAGCACTTACGTCAGAGTTCACCAAAACATCGTGCAAAGTACAATGCAGCAGCTGTCTTTCAGGGGGAGTTTCTACTTGCTAAAAGTGTTTTCTAACTTCTTTGAGGTACCCGAGGGGCTAGATGGAAGACCCCCCCCAATCTTGGAGCACATCACGTGCTGTGAGGGGCAAAGCCACCTAGGGAAGGAAGCATCCCTCCCAGCCAAAGGGAAGAGTGTTTTCTTCCTTGTAACTGTTGCCTGTGTCAAGCCCTGGGAAGAAAGGAGCCTCCTTCAAATCAGGTGGGGACAGGTGGGACAGTGGCCAAGGGGCAGAAGGTGTGTGGGATGGAGGGTATGCACAGGTGACTCACCACTGATCATCCCCCCAACACACACACAGCTCCCTGGGATGGAGGGTATGCACAGGTGACTCACCACTGATCATCCCCCCAACACACACACAGCTCCCTGGGATGGAGGGTATGCACAGGTGACTCACCACTGATCACCCCCCCCACACACACAGCTCCCTGGGATGGAGGGTATGCACAGGTGACTCACCACTGATCACCCCCACACACACACAGCTCCCTGGGATGGAGGGTATGCACAGGTGACTCACCACTGATCACCCCCACACACACACAGCTCCCTGGGATGGAGGGTATGCACAGGTGACTCACCACTGATCATCCCCCCACACAGCTCCCTGATGCGCTGTTCACTGGCTTCCTTACCCTGAAATTCACCCAGGTTCATCAGCACGTAGGTCAGTGTGCCGTCACCATGGACATAGCCAACATCCCACTCCCAAACTGATTATTCAGAAAAACCATGATCTAAACACAAGTCCAACACCCACAACACAAAAGAAAAGAAAAACCACACACCGGAACTCCTGGCTTCCCAGTGATGCCTGGGACACCTTGCACACCCTGGAGGCCCAGGGGTCCTGGGGGGCCAGGAACACCCTGGACTCCACTGGTGCCGTTGGGGCCCTGGATGCCTTTGGGGCCCAGCTCCCCTCGGCTGCCAGACTGCAGAGAACAGGAGGAAGGGGTCAGAGTGAGTGTCCCCTGGGGCTGAGAGCTACCACTGGATGGCTCTCCTCCCCTGGTGCTCAGTGGCTTTCTGATCGCACACCTTGGTTGTGTTCCACGGGGAGGACAGCCCACCCAGAGGTGGACAGGATCTTTTTGACTTGTGGGAACATCTGCTAGGCACTCACCTCTCCTTTTTGTCCAATGGGACCACTGGGACCCTGTGAAGAGGAAGCAAGTACTTTAACTATTAGGCACATACAAGTGGCTCTAAGGAAGTGACTTAGCACCAGGAGGCCATTGAGCCCCTCATACCCCACGTGAGTATACTGACAAGGCTCCTCCTTCCACCTCTTGATGCTGTCGTGAACACTTTTTTTCCCTGAGCAGTGATTTTAGTGGCTGCATGGCATCTGTTCTTAGGCCTGACTAGCTTGTTTCTATCCATCTCTTTGCTGTAGTATTATAAATTATGCTGAGCTGAATGTCTCTGTCCTGGAACTCTGGGCCCTTCTCCACCTGGGTCCTCAGGAATGATACCAAGTATGTAAACAGGACATAGTCTTAACCCAACAACCAGTGGACTGATTGGGCCCGGGCATTGGCTCTGCTCACAACCATGAGCTGATTCCATAGCCAAAGCAGGAAAAGACAGAGGGTAAGTTCACCTGGCTCACTGTTACAGTGGTTAGTGTCACAGAGAGGTTCCTAGCTGGCAGGGCTCTGTCCCACATGACTGCCTATCACTCCATCAGTTTTCAGGGTGGAAAGGTCGGGGCTGTTTCTAAAGGTGGAGAGATGGCTCAGTGGTTAAGAGCACTGGCTGGTCTTACAGAGGACCCAGGTTTGGTTCCCAGTATCTACATGGTGGCTAACAACCATCTGTAACTCCAGTTCCAGGGGACTCCGCCACCCTCTTCTGGCCTCTGTGGGCATTGCACAATGCGAGTGCATTTACACACATACAGGCAATACACTCATACACAAAAAATACAAATAATAAAATATTTTAAAAAAAAAGATTTTAGCCGGGCGTGGTGGCGCATGCCTTTAATCCCAGCACTCAGGAGTCAGAGGCATGTGGATCTCTGTGAGTTCAAGGCCAGCCTCGTCTACATAGTGAGTTCCAGGACAGCTGGGGCTACAGAGAGACCCTGTCTCAAAAAGACCAAAAAAAAAAAAAAAGATTTTGCCAAAATAAAGCACACACAACTGAGATTATTTTGGCTAAAGGCACAAGAGGTTCACAGTAGACAATGGGTGTTGCCTGAGAGCAGGATCCCTGGATTTAGGCTGGGTCTCTCACCCTTACACAAAAGAAAGCCATCACCAAAGAATCGAAATCCTTGGCCACCTGGGAACCAGAAAGCACTTTCTACTTCAACTCCAGGGCAGTTCCATTTCTGGTGCCTCCAGAAGAGAGATGAATGTGTGAGGCCCACATTCCAGCTGTATGAAAACAAGGCTTTGTCCACTCAGACCTCAGCCATGGCTGACGTTCATAGGCAGACTGTGATGCAAGCCCCAGGGAGAGACCCACACCTCAGCAAGGAGTTACCTACCCTGCCCTTGTTTTCTGGACAGGAACCCCTCTCTTTAACGGGATAGCCGTGGCCAGGCCTGGGCACTTGATGGATGCTGTCCAAACCCTGCCTGCCATCTGCAGATACTGATGTTGTCCGTGGGACAGCTCCCAACTAAACTGACCAGTTGGCTCACAGTTGGCAATAAGGGGTTCAGCCTCACTCACCAGTTCGCCTTTGTCCCCTGGAAGACCGTCTGAACCTGCGATGCCCTGCAGATAACACACCTAGGTTATCAACTGCTCCTTTCCACCCTAAGCCACCTGCTCTGTTTATCACTGACCCTGGGCCCAGAGTCTGGGCCATTCTTCTGCACTTGAAATAGCTCCTGAGGCAGCACAAGGATCTCTGGGAACAACAGCCAGACAGACCACAAAGCTGAAGTCACTTATTTGCATACTGAGGCTTTCCTGCTGGGTAGCACCTTATGTGGCACTGGATGGAGGGGCCCTGGGCTGCCTGGAGAAGAGGCAGCTGTCCCTACAGGGACAGAGTGCAGCAGCCACCATAGTCTTTGTACTGTTCCATGGAGGAAAGGGCTGCAGAGAAAAGCCACTGCACCGCCAGCTGCTTGTGCAAGGGACTTCACTTCGTTCATCTTCCCTGACAGAGGCAGCGTTTGTCGCACACGTGGTCACATAATGACCATCTGCTCAACTGCTTATACCTAGGAAGGCAGCTGACTCTTGTCTTTGCTGCTGCTCAGAGTGGTGCAAAGCAGGGGGCGGAGGAAAACAGGAGGATGAAGAGAAATAAGAGTCAAGGGGGCCGCTCAAGAGTTCGGAAAGCAAACCCAAAGCCAGATGGCCTGGAGCTCACCTGATCTCCTTTAGGGCCTGTGGCACCTCCTGGGCCCTGGACAGAGAGAAGATTCTGGATTAGATGAAGCTCAGGAGTCCCCACCCGGCACCCAGCATAGCAGAGGCAGGAATCCCACCTGGACCAGGTATGCAAACTCCTCCTATGGCAGAAGGCCCAGAAACCAGCCCCAGCTGCTAAGCCCAAGTCCATGGCTGACAGCAGCACCTGTGTCAGCCCTGTGCCCCATGACAGTGGATCACTCCCAGTGGACAATGAGGTCCTTAAATCGGGCAATGGGGCAATGACATCTCAGTTGAACTGTTCAAAGATCCTAACATTCATCTTAAACACCTTCTCCTCAGCTGTGAAATCAGGGACATTTCTGGGAACTGCTAGGACCCCTAAAAAAAATGTCCACTCAGGCCTAGGGGTGTAGTGCAGTGGTAGAATATCTCTTAGCATGTGCGAAGTCCTGGTTTTTATTCCCCTCAACTTTGTTCAAACACAAGAACCTGCTCAGAGGGCAAAAAGCATGAAGCTTTCTAAATAATTAAATCTGGGGCTGGAGAGATGGCTTAGAGGTTAGAGCACTAGCTGCCCTGGCAGAGGACCTAGGTTTAGTTCCCAGCACTCAAATGGTGTTTTACAACCATCTCCAACTCCCTCTTCTGGCCTCCTTGGCACTGCACATATGTGGTGCATATACATACATGCAGGCCAACACTCATACACAAAAAATAAATCTTAAAAAAAAAAAAGAGGCCAAGCCGGGTGTGGTGGTGCACGCCTGTAGTCCCAGCACTTGGGAAGCAGAGGCAGGCAGATCTCTGTGAGTTTGAGGCCAGCCTGGTCTACATAGTGAGTTCTAAGACAGCTGGGGCTACAGGGAGACCCTGCTTCAAAAAGACAGAAAAAAACAAACAAAAAAAAGAGGCCAAACTTGGTGGCATCTGCCCTTAATTCCAGCACTTGAGAGACAGAGGCAGAGGTAGGTGAGTTCCATCCAGCCTGGTGCCTGGTCTACATAGTGGGACTCTGTCTCAAAATACAAAACAGATGGGGCTGGCGAGATGGCTCAGCGGTTAAGAACACTGGTTGTTCTTGCAGAAGACCCGGATTCAAATCCCAGCACCCACATGGCAGCTAACAACTGTCTGTAACTCCAGTCCCAAGGGAGTTGGGACTTCTGACTTCAGCGGGCATTGCACGACACGGGTGCACTTACCTACATGCAGGCAATACATGCATACACATAAAATAAAAATAATAAATAGGGGCTGGAGAGATTATTATAAAAATAATAAATAGTGTTTATCCCAGCAGATAAACACTAACTGTTCTTGCAGAAGGCCCGGGTTCGAATCCCAGCACCCACATGGCAGCTAACAACTGTCCGTAACTCCAGTCCCACAGGATCTGAAAGCCTCTTCTGATGGGTGCACTTACATTTTAAAAATACAAAAAAGATGAAAGGAGGGGCTAGAGAGATGGCTCAGTGGTTAAGAGCACTGACTGCTCTTGCAGAGGACCTGGGTTCAGTTCCCACCACCCACATGGCAGTTAACAAACGTCTAACTCCAGTTCCAGGGGATCCGACACCCTCTTCTGGCCTCCACAAGCACTGCACATACATGCAAGCAGAACACTCATACACATTAAATAAAAAATAAATTTTAAAAAAGAAATGTGAAGCAAAGACAAAGAGCCATCCAAGGAAGGAAAGCCAGAAAACAACCCCCCTTTTGGGACTGGGGACAGACACCAGCACTGCCACCTCCAAGCCCTTCTGTCCACTGGCTTAGAATCCTAGAAGTTGTTGGAAAGTCCCTCAATCTCTGGAATTTCCCTAATAAAGGGCCCACTGTCCCCACTGTGGGGTGGTGGTTTCTGTGGCTCCCAGCATCTGCAGAGGTTCTCTAAAGCCTCCAAGGGCTGCTTGTGCATGTCTGAAGAGGGTTCTATCCCTGCCTAGTGGGGACCAAAAAAGTCAAACACATAGCTCCCAAGGCCCTAGTATATGGCCTAGGTCCTAGGTCAGCCTCCTTCCAGGGAACCTGAAGCCTCACCCACTAATCAGTGGGGACCTGAGCAGACTGCAACTCCCCTGGGTCTTGGCCCCACAGAGAGTCAATATCACTGGCTGCTGTAGGACTAGCAGGAAAGAATTTGGGGTCAATCGGGTCTCAGCTCACTCCCAATAGGTAGCTCAGGGCCTAGAGCCAGAGCCAATGTCTTTCCTCTTGTCCCAGTTACTGGTCCCGCCAGGCCTGCATGTAGGGCTGGAGGCAGAGCAGGAAGTTCTAGATCCCCTTCTGCCCAAGTAGAATGAACGACGTAGAGGCCAAAAGCACCTGTTCAGAGCTGACACTGCTGTCCCTGCCATCCAGGTGGGGCAGGAACAGGCTCAGTGAGATGGCCTAGGCTATCTCTGTAGACTGGTTGGAGCAGGATGGGGTTCAAGGGAAGGATAATTACCTGGTCACCTACATCACCTCGGAGGCCTTGGGGGCCTGGAAGACCAGGATCTCCTATGTTGCCCTTCCGGCCCTGTGGATGAGGTCCCAAGCTGGTCAGCACCCAACAAAGTCCAGCTAGGACCCCTCATCTTCCCAGCCTACTAGGGCTCGCTTCTCTGGCCCAAACTTGGACCCCATCTTTACCCACCTGGAAGCCACGGACACCAGGGGCCCCCGGAGGGCCCTGTGGGCCAAGAGCCCCCTGAAAGAACAAGATGTGAGTAGATTCTCTGAGGTCCAGGGAGTCCTGGAGGGGGGCAGTAGCCTTTATGGACCAGGGAGCCTAGCTGTGTCCCCATGGGGAGTACTGGACAGACAGAAAACTAGTCTTTAGTCATCTGGCTAAGTTGCTACAGGTGGAGGCAGAGGCATGGACACCCCCTGAGGACAACTGAGGCGGGTGGGGTCCTCAAGGTTAGCACATATTCCCCATCTGAACAGTCAGGCTGGCTCACTTCCCCTACAGTGTGCAGCTGGCACCCACAAACTGTAGCACAAGACTTGAGAACTTCCACCTACACTTCCCAGGGTCTGAACTGTACCATGGCAAGAAGGATCTGAGACTAGGATAGCCCAGGATGGCCTCACTGTCCCAGAAGGTAAGGGATGAAGGCAAGGCTCCCCATCTCCTAGTCCCTTCATGGACCTGGCCCACTTATATCTCCAAAAAGTGCCACCCCAGCTTGCTCAGAAGCTAGGGCTCTGTCCCAACCCCCAGGGCTGTGCCTGCCTACTCACCACTGAGCCCCTGTGACCAGCCTCACCACGTTCCCCAGGAACACCAACATCTCCCTGAAGGGAGAGAAAAGAAGGTGAGGTCAGGATCCCCTTTGACATGTGTGAGTAGGAACAAGTTCCCTGTGTACACATGGGGGAGAGGCAGGTCCCTGTATATGCACCGGAGGAAGAGCAGGGTCCCTGTGTACACGTGAGGAATAGGGGCGAGTTCCCTGTGTGTACATGCTAGAGAGGCAGGGTCTCTATGTACACATGGGAAGTAGGGGCAAGCTCCCTATATACACATAGGGGGAGGGACCAGGGTCCCTGTGTTCGCCACACATGGGAGAGGGGGAAGGGTACTCCTGCACACATACAAATGGGGGCAGGGTCTATACACACATGCATGGAGGGGTAGGGTCCCTTTGTACACGTGAGCAGGGAAAAGGCAAGGTCCCCGCGTACACAAAGGGAAGGGCTGTGGGTACTCACGGGGATTCCTGGCTCTCCAGAGGGGCCAGCCTCACCCAGCTCCCCAGGTCTACCCTGTGTGAATGAGGTGACAGTGAACACCATGTCCTCTCATTCAGGACCAGAGCACTGCCTGCAGTCCCTTCCCTCCCTGGGGGAAAGCAGCCACTTACCAGTTCTCCCTTCTCGCCTTTGGATCCTGCTCGTCCAGGGAGGCCCTGTCAGGACAGGGATCGGGGTCCAGTGTCAGGGTAGGGATCGGGGATCAGTGTCAAGGTAGGGATCGGGGGTCAGTGTCAGGACAGGGATCGGGGATCAGTGTCAGGACAGGGATCGGGGGTCAGTGTCAGGACAGGGATCGGGGGTCAGTGTCAGGACAGGGATCGGGGGTCAGTGTCAGGGTAGGGATCGGGGGTCAGTGTCAGGGTAGGGATCGGGGGTCAGTGTCAGGGTAGGGATCGGGGGTCAGTGTCAGGGTAGGGATCGGGGGTCAGTGTCAGGATAGGGATCGGGGGTCAGTGTCAGGGTCTGGATCAGGGTCCAGTTTAAGGGTCTGGGTTAGTGTCAGACTTCGGTCAGGGCCAGGGGCCAGGGTCAGGGCCACGATCGCTGAGTGAATGTATGCAGGACACATGCACAGGGCAGCTGCACAGTCTACATAGGCAATGTGCACAGGCCAGACACAGTACCCTGAGAGGGAAAGCTAATTCACCCAGCCCTGCTGACCCCACGATGGGACTCTCACAGTTCCCCAGTCTCTGATGCAGAGACCCTGCCAGAGCTCCTAGGCACGGCCCACAGGAGTGAACCCTCAGCATCCAGGAGGACACAGGCTTGTTTACACATGTTCCACATACAAATGCACATATATGCTAAGGCAGGCTACCGAGCCTGGACCACTTACTGGCAGCCCATTGGGACCCTTCTCTCCAGGGGCACCACTGCGACCAGCCTCTCCCTGTGAGAATAGTGATTGGGGTTGGAGGAAAAACGATGTTGAGACCTTGGAAGGCTGAACGCCCCCAGCTCTCCCAGCGAGCCACCTGCTGGGTACCAACCTTCTCACCATCAAGTCCTGGCACTCCATCCCTGCCATCCTTGCCTGGCATGCCCTGGGGACAAAGGACAGTATTAGATCCCTCAGAAAAGGTCCTTTCCCACTCTCTAGACAGAGCATCTCTGCCGAGGCCCTGGGGTGCCTGGCTTTTTTTGCTAGATTGGTGTGCGTCAACATGTGCCACCTTCAGAAACCTTCTGTGGAGTGGCAAGACAGACTTCACTGTCCATCCAGGACCCTCAAAATGCCCACCTGTGCTTGCTGACCCCCCCCCACTCCCCTCCTTCTTAGGTGCTGATGGGGGTTTCTGGGAGCTGTTGGGGGCTTCCGGAGCTGCTGGGGGGGGGCTGTTGGGGCTGCTAAACCATCATTTTGACTATCAAGGAGGTATCAGCAGAACATTAGACCGTGTAGGCACTTCTGAGTATGATCCCTGTTCCACTATGCTGTGTGTAGAAGGGACTGTACAAAGGCAAATAGTTTTTGATAATGGTTAGTGACAAGAGCTCAGCCAAGAGCAGTAGGGACACAGGAGGAGCGAGGCATTTTATGTCACCATGACACTGTGCCTGAGGCCACAAGTCTGAGGTACTTACTGGCTCTCCACCAGGTCCAGCCACTCCGGGGATTCCTTTGGGACCGGTTCTGCCCTAAAGGACACATGGGACAGAAGCACCTACAGCTGAGACCTTGACAAGTATCCCAGCCTTACCATGTCCCCACAGGCTCAGTCACACATGCCCAGCTTTCAGGACATCAAGTTCTGTGCTTCAAGTAGCCCATCCCAACCACTGGAGATGGATCTGTTACCTGGGCCTCTTGAGGTGTGTGGCACATTTGGCAGCACTGCCCAGCCACTAGGGCTTGGGTGGGGAAGAGGCAGATTTGGGGACAGTCACTTCAGAAGTCAGATATGTCACTCTTGTCCACATGCCTCACTGCAGAGTCCATTTCCCTTCCTCCCATTCTGCAGCTGGGTAGCCTGAGCTTAGGGGCATGATGGGGAAGAAGCTACCTACCTAGATTCTAGGGCTGATCTGGAACCAGGATCTGAGCCTAGTCACTACTGGCTGCTCAGGAGGGGCCCAAGGCCTACCATGTGGGCTTTGGGAGTCTGTGTGGGGCAGGGAGAGTGCTGGGTTCAGGACCAGGCCAGCAGCTTGTACTACTCCTGGACAGGTTATGGCACGGAGAGGCCCCCCATGACCCCAGAAGGAGTCCTTTATGTATCCCCTATCCCCAACTCCAGTCAGGAATTCAATCAAGTTCTTCTACAGAAGGACTCACAAAACCAAGCTCCCTGATACTTACCAGGTCACCCTTGGGGCCACGGAACCCCTCTGGGCCCCTCTCACCTCTGTCACCCTAAAAATAACAAGGGGGGCAGGGACAATGTCAACACAAATAAGACAGGAAAGCTACAGGGCCTTACTGAGTCTTCTCCAGGGCCTAGCTGGCTCAGCTCTCTAGACATGGTCAGAGATAGCCTGCTGCTGTACAGGGTCACAGGGGACAGTGACAGCTCAGCTCACATCCAGGCAACAAAGCAGGCAGATCTCCTATGAAAGCTAGACTCCCCATGCCCCAGCTGCACAGCATTTCCTAGGCATACCACAGAACCCCTTCGCCACCCCCATGGGCCTCTCAGATGTGCGACCCCTTGGTGTGTTCGGAATTTCCCACTTGCTTATGGATGGCTCAACCAGGGGCAGAGCCAGGGGCATCCCAGTGGAACAGGGGGAGACATCTGTGTGGAATAGTAGCAGGATGGGGTCAGAGGGTCTAGGCTGGTGTGGGGTCGACCCTCAGTCTAGACAGACACATACCACTTTTCCTGGCGCTCCTGGGATCCCAGGGGGCCCCCGAAACCCAATGGGACCCTGCAGAAAAGAGAATGCACTTCAGGTTCCCCCAGAGGAAAAAAAGACTCAGAGAGGAGGCTCCTGCCCCAGTCCTAAATGGACAGCCATGAAGAGCCTGGAGCTGCTGACTGCTCCTCCATCTTGAGTCCATACAAAGTCTCGGGGTAGGGACAAGCCTGGCCCCCAGCCACCCAGGCTGACCTCAACTGACCCACAGCCCTCCATGGAGCAAGTAGGACTTACCCGGTCCCCAGGGGGCCCAAGAGGCCCTGGAAGTCCTCGTAATCCTCGTGGACCCTGAGGGGAAAGAACTACATCTCTCTGGGGAGCCACCGAGAGCCTCTGGATCCCCAAGGGCCTTGGTGTCTTCCTTAGAAGTGCTTGACCTCAGCTGAGACCCCCAGAGAGCAGCACCAGCCGTGGTGTCTGCCTGGGTGGCCCTGTACTGGGTGCTGGTTAACTGTCCCTGAAGTCTGAGCCTTGGGCTACCCTTGGGGTAGCCATCCAAGGGGCTTCCACCTGGCTACCTTGGTCCCTCCCCAGACTCACCTGTAGTCCCAGAGTGCCCGGGATTCCAGGAGGTCCAGGGGGACCAGGATTACCCTGCCACAGAGAAAGCAATGGTCAGCTAGTTCAACCCCCAATTCTAGCACCTTCTATTGCTTACTGGTTCCCTCTCATGTGGCTGAGCAGTAGGACACAACTCCTATTTCATAGCTGAGCCCATGGAGGCTTAGTAAGGAGGACACTTGCTCACAGCTACAAAAAGACCACATGAATCATGGTGGCCTCACCACTGCCTGGGCTGGTCAGGGGTCTCTGTTCCAGCAAGGCCCTTCCTCCTGTTTAAGCAGGGAGCGCTTGCTGTGCACACAACAGTCGTCAGTCACTCCTGACATCAGAAAGGCATCCCAGACCTTGTCTCAGCCTGCAGTGAGGATGGGAAGATGCCCTCCAGGACAGTGGCCACTGTGTGTCAGAAGCTGCAGAGGATAATTCAGGCTAACAGCCAAGTGTCCTCAGGAACCCCCAACACATCAGGAGCTGGGGCTGGGAAAGACTGTTCACGTGAAGGGATTCTGCTCGGGTCCCCCAGCTCTGACTAGTCAAGCCTCACTGAGGTAATACTAGTAACAGGTGACTACCCAGAACAAGTCCATGAGGCCCCAGGACCCTCCCCTGTAGAGTCCCAAGGCCACCAGCCACCAAACCCCATCCTTCATGGCTGCACTTTCTGGGTCAGCAAACCAGGAGCAGCCAGCATTTTACCTTCTCACCATCCTTGCCAACCTCTCCTTGCTCCCCTTTGTAGCCAGCGGGCCCCTGAAAACAAACATGGACGTCACATCCAGCAGACCCGTGGATGCCCCTGCCCACTCATGCAGAGCTATGTGTAACCACCTAGCCAGAGCAGCATTCAGAGCTCACGGCCTGGAGCCAGGCAGGGAAACCGAGGCCCAAGAGGGGCTGTGACCATGTCTCCAAGGGCCCTCAGGAAGGGCAGGGGCAGGGCCAGGATAGGTAGGGCAGGGGGCCAGCCCTCCCCCATATCTCTGTCTCCTCTGACCCCCTCAGCCCAGGATTCCAGTGTCATTGGGATAGAGAAGGTGGAACAAGTTGAGGAGCAGCTTTGCTTTCTCTCAGTGACAACCCTGGGTCTAGGCCCAAGCTTTCTCAACCCCCAAGCTCCATAGCCTTGAGGGGACCCCATGGCCTCCTGCCAGTGAAAAATGTATTCAGCCTGTCACTTACAAGGGGAGTAGCTGCCTACTCACCTTGAATCCTGGCATTCCTGGGGGCCCAGGGGGGCCTGGTGGGCAGATGGCAGGGCACTGTTGAAAAACAGAGGGTTAAGATACCTCCTAGACAAATGGTGCAGGACTCCAAGAGAGATTAGCACTGGGGAATCCTGAGGAGGACCATCTAAAAAGTGAAGGGGACCACGGACAAGCCAAGACAGGACCTCAATTCAGTGCTGTGCACAAGGTGTGGCGGGCAGTTGCAGGGAGCTGGACCGCAGCTGGTCACCCTCCCTTGCAGCCCCTCCAACTTCTCTGCACACAGACTCAGCCTCAAAGCAGCTATTCACAAGCTGGCTGTGGGCTCCACAAAGAGGCTTTCGTCTTGTGACCAGCACCTGGTGGCTATTAGGAGGAATGCTACATGAGCCCACCCAACAGCGCTGACACTCCGGCTTGGAGGCATATCCTGTGCCAGACAGCAGGGAATGGAAGGAGGGCATGGCGATTCCTAGGACACTACACACTGAACTGGGCAGGCTGGGCCTGGGCACAGAGTGGTGCTATTGACTTCTGCCCATTAACCCATCCCAAGGACTGCTTAGCACTATCCTTGTTTGGAAGAACCTCACCCTGTCCTTCTAGGACACGACTTGGGCGAGAGTGAGAAAAGCAGGCAGACGGCTGTTAAATGGAGCTGCGTCCAGATGAAGCCAAACATAAACCATCTTCGTGGGAATAAAGAACGTGTGACAGAAAAGACAGCTTGCCACCTTCACTGAGAGCAGCCAGGAGGTGGCTCTGTAGGGAGCAGAGTTGCCAGCTGACGGGACTATACTAATTGGGTTTGTGTTACCTCCCTGTGACAAGTAGCTTTGTGAAGGACAGTGCAGGTGTAGATGCTAGCAGGATAGGGCACAGAGAAAGAGGCCAGGCTTCTGCCTGGAGCCATCTGTGCTGAGCCCACTCCCCAAAAAGCTCCCTCTTGTGGCCTTCCTGCCAAGAAAACAGGTACCTTTCAAATTAGGAATGCTGTCTTGGAGGGTCCCCCAGGCAGTGGCCCCAGGCCAGATCCCGCCCCCTCCACAGCAGGCACATTCCCGGAACCCCTCCACAAGGACACAAGTGCCCACCTGCAGATCAGTCGCACCTTCAGGGAGGACCCCAGGGTTTCCCTGGAAAACACAGGGAAACAGTTGAGGTCCATTCACCCTTCACCCACAATTTGACCTCCACCCATCAGAGGATTGAAACCCTCAATTCCACCCCCCAGTGGTCAGTGTAGGGTGCTGCTGACCCATCAGCAGAGCAGGTGATAAAAGAAATCACCTGTCCTTGGAGCAGGGTCACCTTGGGTTCTGTGCTGGACCGGGCCCCTGCCTCCCAGCTGCTTCTTGGGAAGCCGAGTCTCTAGATGGCACAGAGCCTGGGTAGGGGATCAGGGAGGGGTACAGCCCAATGCTCTAGGATGCCTGGCACTGCCAGAGCACCTTCTCAGTACTTACAGGAGGTCCAGGGGGTCCTGGGGGTCCAGGCAGGCCTGGGAGTCCAGAGGGTCCCTGGGGGAGAGGTCATGACTCAGAAGAGGGCCACCCTCACTAAGTAAACAGACAAGCTTTGCCCAAAGTGGAGGACACTACAGCTCTTTTCCTCCTGTGTTTGCATCTGTCTGTCTGTTATCCTGGGTATTGGGTGTCTCTTGGCCTGGGTCTCTGTCAATGCCCACCAGCCAAGGTGGGAGGGAATGGGAAGAGGGAGGGGACAGAGAGGAGGGAAGGAGGAGGGACAGGGTGTCTGTGGTTAAGTGTGGGTACACGGGGGCGGGCAGCCACTCACCGGGGGGCCACGCAGGCCAATCCCACCTGGGAGGCCACTCACTCCTGCCTCTCCCTGGAGGAGGTAAAGAAGGAGATGGGCAGCCTGCAACCCTTGGGGGAAGAACTCCCACTAGGGCAGTCTGCCTTGGAAGTGACCAGGCCTCCAAGTGTGTAGTCAGATTGCACCCTAGAAGACCACACTGCCACAATCTGGGACATCCCAGACAACATGGGCTCCAGTGGGAGCATCTCTAGGAATGTATGTGCTTGGGAGGGGCCACAGGGGTGATACTCACTGGGGGTCCAGGGAGGCCTTTGCCCTGCAAAGCCAAGCATAGGATCAGAGCACTGAGTGGAAGATAATTCAGTGGGGTTCAGGAAGAGTGAGCTATGGTGGTTTAGGGGAAACCAACCCCACTAGCCCAGAGGTCAGCAGTAGATAATGTCCCAGACCTTCTGGAGAGACTATAAGAAGCCCTGGGGCTCTTGGAGGCCGCCCCACTGACTACCCTCTGGCTCTTCAAAATCCCATGGGGAGAAGACAGTACTTACCCCAAGCCCTGGTGGCCCAGGGGGTCCTAGACTTCCCTGAAGAAGAAAACAGGGGTCAGGGAATACTGGAAAGGAACCCTGGCCTTTGTTTACTAACTCATTCTTTTCTGTCTGGATGGAGCCTCAGTCCATAACTCCCGGAGGTAGGAGCAGGTACAAAAGCCTCTTTAGAAAACTGAGTCTATGGAGAGCTCTGCTGCCCCAGTAGCTGGGTTGAGTGTGGAGGGAAAGAAGAGGCAGGAACTGTTGGGGGACAGGGTCAACAGGAGGGCAGGACATCAGGGTGGACATGAGCCACACAGCAGAGATTCAGAATTGTCCTCTCGGAAGGTGTACTAAAGTAGCCTGCAGAGGTCGCTGAGACCTCAGACCTTGGGCCACATAAGGGAGCCACCAGCTTGGCAGCCAGGCACTGCCTGTCCTCTTGCCTCCAAAATGATTGGCTTGCCAAGGAGGGGAAACATGCTGGTTCTTGTACTGTAGCCAGAGAGTCGTCCAGACAGCCTGGGACCAACCCACCACAGGCCGAACAATGGCAGCCCAGGGGGCCACCAGCCACCTGTTTTCATCCTAGTACTCCACATAGGTGAATTCTCCAGGATAGCTGTGGCCCTGTGCCCTGCCCAGCCTTCTTACACTCTGAAATGCTTTGCACCCATGGCCACTTCTCCCAAGGGGAGGGAGGACTTGTGGGCACAGCTCTGTTCTCAGAAGCAGTAGGAAGAGAAAGTCAACTCTTGGGTAGAATGGTTCAGTAACTGATGGTCAGACTCAGGAGATGTTCAGGCAGGTAACTGTAGGTCCCCTCATGCTGGTTCATTCAGGGCCCTGGGGGCCAGAGATACTGGGAAGAGGAAGGACACCTAGGGCTCACCCTCACCTCTGTCCTCATCACCACACCACCTGTACCTGCCACTGTCTGAATGCCAGGATGACCCTGACCAGATATGGCTGTAGGATGGGGAGGGCAGCCACAGTGGCTGTGGGGCAGTGGGGCAGAGCCCAACCAGTACAGTCGTGGCTATCACCCACAGAACTTCTGTCCTGATGTCCTGATGAACTACCCGGGAACCTTATGGAACCTCACCTGCGGACTGCAGCCATTGGAAACTACAGACACTTACCCGCTCTCCTGGGGTACCTTTGGGTCCAGGGGGTCCATCCCTCCCAGTCAGACCCTGAAGAGAAAGGCAGAGGGAGGGCTTAAGAACCCACTACATGAGAAGCACACGCCCTACCCTGGAAAGAACTGAGCTATAGACACTTGCTTAACTACAATGAATCCAGATGCAGGCAAAACCCTTAAGTGGGTGATGCACCAGGCCTCTGAGAGGAGGTAGGGCCGGCAAGTGAGAATCTGCTACAGAGCCCCTTGGGGACAAAACAAACAGGTCCAGCAGCTCACTTCTCAGACCCCCCC